AAGAGGAAGACCCCTAACGAGATGGATTGGCCAGGTGGCATCATTGATGGACTCAAGTGTGGCAGCAGTAGTGAGGTTGGCCCAGGATCAGGCATTGTTTTGTTCTGCTGTGCATGGGATCGCTATGAGTCGGTTCCAACTCGATGGCACCTGACAACAACAATCCTTTTCTATGTGAAATTGTTCATAATAAAATTATACTTTGGAAACAACTTGCTTAGAGGCCACAGAACCTTCTAGTGCAGGAATCTCTTTGTCTACCTTGTCATACTCACAGTCTTTCCTTTGACTCATGGACTTCTCCATGTTCATTCTGTCCTTATATTAAAGTGAAATAAGCTTTCTTGTCAGCTTCAACTTCTTGGACCTGAAACCTTAGGAATATCAGTGGAATATTGTCTAATATGTGCCAGGTTAAAAGGCACTTAAAATACGACTGGGCAAGAGCTGTCTCCTCAAAATAGAGTTGTCCTTAATGACATGCATGCCATTTTCAGGACCTTCATTTACTGATGGGGCACAATTCAAAATAAGAAGAGACTGCTGCAAACATCCATTAAAAATTAGAACATGGAATATACGAAATACGAATCTATGAAAACTGGAAGTCTTCAATAATGAAATGGGACACATAAAGATCGATATACTATGCATCAGTGAGCTGAAATGGACTGGTATTGGCCATTTTGAATCAGACAATCATATGGTTTATTATGCCAGAAACAACACATTGAAGAGGAATGGTGTCACATTCATTGACAAAAAAACATTCCAAGATCTATCTTGAAGAAACTATGCTGTCTGTGATCAGATCATATAAATTAAAGTAACTGGAAGAAATGAGAAAGTAAAAGAACTGAAATTTTCAAAGGCACCAAGACTTGGAGTTAGAACACCAAAAGGGAAGAACATATTCAGCATTTTTCAAACTGAAAGAACTGAAGAAAAAATTCAAGCCTTGACTTGCAATATTGAAGGTCAGTAGTTCAAGCTCACCAGTTGCTCCTCGGAAGCCCTATATAAGGGTCACTATGGGTCAGAACCAATTCTACGGCACTTAACAACAACAACAATACGGACAAAATATTGAATGATATGGGAAGCAACAAAAGATGATGAAAGGAATATAAAGAATCATTGTACCAAAAAGAACTGGATGTTATTCAACTATTTCAAGGAGGTATTCAAGAACCTGTAGTACTGAAGGATGAAGTCCAAACTACACTGAAGTCATTGATGTAAAACAAGTTTCCAGGAACTGATGGAATACAAACTAAAATCTTTCAACAAACAGATGCGGCACTGGAGGCACTTACTCTTCCATGCTAAGAAACTTGGAAGACAACTACCTGGCCAATGGATTGGAAAAGATTCATATTTGTGCCTATTACAAACAAAGGCAACTCAATAGAATGGCAAAATCACTGAACAATATCATTACAACTAGATAAAATAAAATTTGGCTGAAGATATTTCAAAATCAATAGCAGCAGTACCTCAACAGGGAGCTGCTAGAAATTTAAGCCAGATTCAAAAGAGGACTTGGAACAAAGAGTGTCACTGCTGACATCAGATGGATCTTGGTTGAAAGCAGTGAGTACCAGACAAATGTTTACTTGTGCTTTATTGACTATGAAAAGGCACTGTACTTTGTGGATCATAACAAACGATGGATAACGTTGGGAAGGACTGAGTATTCCAGAACATTTAACTGTGCTCATAAGGATCCTGTACATAAACCAAGAAGCAGTCATTAGGACATAACAAGGGAATACAGAATAGATTAAAATCAGGAAAGGTGTACACTACGGTGTATCCTTTTACCATGGTCTCTCATACTTTGGACATGTTGTTAGGAGGGACCAGTTCCTGAAAAAAAGACATCATGCTTGAAAAAGTGAAGGGTCAGCAAAAAAGACCCCCAAGGAGATAGACTGACACAGTGGCATTAACAATAGACTCAAACATAACAAATGTGAGACAGTGCAGGAGCAGGGAGTATTTCATTCTGTTATACATAGGGTTCTTACCAGTCGGAACCAACTCAATGGCACCTAACAACAACAGATATTAAGGAACTGTTGAAGTCATTTTCCCCCTCTTCCATTAAAATTTTAATTAGAAAAACATTTCTTCTACAAACACTTCATTCTGAAGTAGATAAAAATTCTGTTTTGTTTCACCTTAAGGTTACATTGGACTTGGGTTGTTTGTTTTTGCTCAATTGCAAGTTGTGACCAATTATTAGGTCATGAAATTGGTGATAGTACGCCTTTTAAAAGAAATGTAATAGATAGTTATCATTGGAATGCAACCCTCAGAGAAAAAGTATTGTTTCTGAAACTTTTGTTTTAGGTGATTCTAAAATCTCTCTCATACACATACCAGGTCCCATGTACACCTACCGTGTCACAGTGTAAAACACATTCCTTACTATGGGCTGCAGTAAAGAAAAAGTTTGAAAACAACTGGGCTAGATGATGTTGTTATTGTTCTTAAGTGCCATCGAGCTGGTTCTGACCCATAGCAGCCCTGTATAGAGTTTTCGAGGAGCAGCTGGTGAGCTTGAACTGCCAACTTTTCAGTCCAGCACATTAACCCAGGTACTTATAAAAGGAGCTGTTGTTATGCCCAGAATTCGGGGTCCCCAAAGACCATCAAGGAGCTGACCCCGATGCAAGTGCACAAGAGTTGTTTATTCAAGCTCTAGCTCGGACTCTACCTGCATCTGATGCAGCGGATGAGGGATGGAGCCTTGAACCCCCAGTTATTCATGCTCGGGCTCGGATTCCACCTGCATCCAACGCAGCAGATGAGGGATGGTCTGCGGGGTTTTTATAGAGTTTTCAAACAAGCTCAGGGTTTTTCAGCTTTACAATATTTGCATTGGTTGGCATTTGTCAAAGTATGAGATGTTACAGTTTAATTGGTCAGGACTGGTGATCTTTTGTTCTTAGGCTAGGATAAGGAAAACATCTGGCATCTGGCCTTGGGTTG